CAGCCCCTTTCGTTTATTAGTCATTCGGCTTTGTAATAATTATTTATTCAGGCATTTGGACATTCGTACCCTCGTTCGCGAGGACAAATATGTAATTAGTTGTATGTCTTCCAACCCCCATTCTTTCTCCCTTTTATTTCACTGCTTATGATGGTTAGATTAGGGACATCATGTTTACTTAGCATTTTCCATGATTTGCATCCATTCGTTTACATGCATAAAAGTTCAGCTCATCATATTATTCAAATGTCAGATTCAAGCTCCTTAATTGCATACATGCGCTACCACATGCCTTGAATTGACTCACATGCCATACCAGTAGCCGAACCTTAATTGCACGTTGCATGTGTTGCATTAGTCATTAAATTAGGATCATACATTTGTTTCTAACTATTTGCTTTCTTTTTGGACTCGTCTTCAGACATTAAGGTAAGTATTTTTGTTTTAGCATATTGCATAAGTGTGAATGCTGTCATATCAAACATACTACCATGAGGCTAATTACTTATTTGATATACCTATTTGAATGCCTGTGGATGAAGGCTAATCACTTGAATTGGGATACTTTGATTTATGTATATATGAGATCACCATTTTAAGTGATACATATTCAAAACACTTTTGTCAAAACAAACATGAAATCAAACATTCCAACTTTTCGTGAAATTAGTCTATACTTGTATGTTACATATAGAACAAGAGCATATACTGTACATAAAAATCACATCATGATTAGTAGAGGCCGATCTTTAATTGGGTGAGTGGGTGTTCAATTATTGACCTTCCCTTCTCATACCTAAGTTCCCGAACCAAGACACTTTGGTAACGACGGACTAATAGCCGTTGGCATGAGTCACGGGTTTCCTAAATTTCCCAAAATAAATATTTAGGTGGCGACTCTGAAATCTGGCAAAGTAGTCTATTTTTGGCATTTGATTCAAACATCATTTTTCCAAAAAAAATTGTCAGATTTGGACTCTTTTTGTGTTTTCACTGTTTCACATTGCACTTGTGAAATCAAATTCAGAACCCGCACAAGTGGAGTCCGAACTGTAAGGGCTATTCATTCTTCCAAAAGGAAGCACGAAAAGTCGAGCTACAGATACAAAGTCGCAATGTACCATCCTTCTTCTTGGCAAAGAGAGTTGGTGTTCCCAAAGGCAAAATGCTAGAGCGGATAAAACCCTTATCTAACAATTCTTGGAGTTGAACCTTCAACTCACTCAACTCGACGGGTGCAAATCTATACGGTGCCATAGAAATTGAAGCCATGCCAAGCACTAAATCGATAGGGAACTCAATCTCACAGTGAGATGACAAACTAGTGAGATCCTAAGGAAAGACGTTTGGGTATTCACAAACTACCCTCGACAACTTAACTTGGACCACATCACTCTTAACCCCCAAGAATGTAGCAAGAAGGAGACTAAGCTCACCATGACCACACGGATCATACGCTGGCAATAAAGCTATATCAACCGGATCCCCCAAGAAATAAAAACAGTCACCACTCGAGGTACATATAGTAACCCTCTGAAGGTAATAGTCTATAACAGCCCGATAAGATGACAACCAATCCATACCCAATATAACATAAAAGCTCAACATATCAATCAACACACATGCAAAAAGAAGTCGGCGATCGGCAACCTCTATCTCACAACCCCGACACCCCTGGTCCAATACAACCTCTTCACCAACCGGTGACTCTACCTTGAGTGGAGATGCTAATTGAGCCACTTCTAACCCCAATGCCGATGAAAATGTAGGCGAGATAAAAGAGTGGGATGCACTCGTATCAATCAACACATTGGCAATAGAATTACATAACCAGAAGTTACCTTTCATTACCGAATGTATTGGCACTAAACTTGGCGTGGTAACAGCATACACAAGCCTTTTAGATCTCTACTCTACTTGCTCACCCCTTGAAGCATAAGTTTGATACACAGATTGAGCCGAAGAGGCCCCCTGATTGGCCTTCGATGCCTGTATTGACTAGGTAGGCTAACGGCTCTTTGTCTTTCTCAAACCAGACACACTAGGTATGTGATGGCCCTGACCTCTGTATTATTATAGTATATTGTTTCAATAAGTTTAATTGCATGATTGTGTGTTTAATTATGTGTTTACATGCTTAATTTTGTAGTTATATGTTATTTCATGGAATATATGTTCACTTATCGACTTAGAATTAGAAATTGAAGCCTAAATGGCTTCAGAAGCCAAAATTGACTAGCCCAATAGGCCAATTAGAATATTTAGAATTTTATGACAACTTTGGGAAAAATTTGATTTAGACCAAAATAATTAGAATAAACTGATTGAACTTAGTTAGAAATGAGCCTAATTAATTAACCTTAATTAACTTTGATTAGGCTAATTTAATTACACTATTTAAGCTTGGCACATGTTTTGAACTCACTTATACAACACATAGACTGAGATTTTGAGAGAGGAGGAAGCTAAGCTCAACATTTAGAGAGAGAAAAAGGGAAATTTGAAAGAATTTGTGGAGGATTTGAAGAATTGAGCTAGATAACACTTGAATTCACATCCTAGGTATGGAATTCGTCCTTAAATCTTGAAAATAAAACATGTAGGCCATGAATTCAAGAAGTTATGAGTCTATTTGTATGTAAGTAGAAAGGATTGACTTGATTATTGAAGAATTGAGTATAATTGCATACATGCATGTATAATCCTTTATCTTTGAGTTCAATTTTCTATGAATTCTTACATGCATGGGACATCTACACATTTATTTGAAGAGTTCTTCATGTTTTTACACTTGGCATGCCATTTGATCAAGTCTTGAAAGGATTTGAAAAGAAATGAGGGCAATACATGTCATGCATGGTTCCAACTTCATGATTTAAGTTTGATTTTGAGAATTGGGTCCATGATTTTGAGCTATTGGTTTCAAATTGACTACATTTGCAAGTTCTAAAATGTTTTTCCATGTTTTTGTACCAAAAATACAAGTTTTGGACCTTTGTATATCAAATTTGAACTTCAAATACAGTTCTAGAAATTCCATAATTTGGCATGTCTGCTCGAACATAAAAATCGAGCTCTCAGAAGTGTTACAAAATTTTACAGACCGCCCAAGCGACCAAAGTGGCACTCGAGCGAGGACCCTTTTTACTCAGTCTTCCGCTCGAGCAGCCGTCGAGTGAAAATTTCATGTAACCAGTACTTTTGCAAAGTTTACAAACTGCTCAAGTGACAGAAGTTGCGCTTAAGCAAAGGATGCTGCGCTCGAGCGGAGACCCTATTTTCAGCAAAGTTTGACTAACTCTTTTAAATACATACTTGCATCCTCGCATTATTTGAAGTACTCTTAGGAACCAATTGAGCTCACAAAAACATGGAATATAGAAACACATGAGGAAAATTTAATCAAAGCAGCATGATTATAGAACGCTACTCCAATTGCATTTTTGTTATGTGTTTTATATAGGTGGATGTCCAAGGCCTGGTGACAACGTAACCCATAGTGAGTAATAACACTATAAAGATATGTTCGAGTTATATTTATTTTTGAAGATGTTATTGTTATCAAAATTGATATATGAATGATTGAATGGCATATTGGAACAAATGGTTTATTAAAATGTCATGATGATTTATCAAACCTGTTATTGTTCATCGAATGGTTTATTGAAACTTTAGTTTCATATGAATGAATGAAGTTCCCTTTTGAAAATGTATTCGTGGTATCCTTTAGTAAGGCCCTCGCTTGGGGGATATAATACCATGGCCCATTGATAAAGAGGCCCTTGCTTGGGGGAAATAAATACCATGGTTCATCGGCCTTCGCCTGGGGGAAACAATACCATGGCCCATTGGATAATTAAAATATAGAGATCTCTGCAGTTAGACCTTAATGGTCACATTGGATAAGATACATTGATTGACCTTTGAGGTCCTATCGTTATTGATACATTGTTACTCTATTAGATATTCCACGTAAATTGTCATTGAGTGTGTAATGCTGTTGAGACAACATGGATTATTGAGAATTGTATTGAAATCGAAATTGTATTGAAAACGCTATTGAACAATGGTTCTGTAATTGCAAGGGATTGATATGATGGCTAATCTAATTGATATTTGTAATGGTGTGGAACTTCATTCATATAACGTCTTTATTCTGTTATTACTCATTGGGCATTAGCTCACTATTTATGTATATATATATCGGTGAGCAAGTTGAGCATCAAGGATAGAGATCGCCTCAGAGATAACCCGTGGTTAGCCTTTTGTGGAGCTCCCGAGATGGAGCCAACTTGGACTCGTGCAAAGCCAAGCAAAGTCTAAGCCCCTTTTTGTTATGAACTCTTAGTTGATTTTTGGTATAGGGGTTTTTGTGTGTGTTAGACTTGACAAGTGCAAAATTGTGGATTGAATGTTAGTTTTTATTTAAAACGTTTGTGGTGTATGCAGCTACTTATAGAATGGTTGTATAGTTTTGATTCAAAGTTTCTTTCATATACGCACGGCTCAATGGATAATTTCTTTTTATGTTATGATATACTTCCACTACGCCCTATACTTTATATTAAACGGATTTTGTTTATAGAGGTCGTAGGTAATCTATGATTACTGGCCGGTCATAACACTAAACCTATAGGGGCGGGTTTGGATCGTGACAGAGTAGTATTAGAGCACGAGTTATATCTCACTCACTTGTCCATTGAGCTATAATGAGTCTAGAGGAGACTTCAGGATTGCATTCATGTGTATTTAAATGCTAGAGTGAGACAATTTGTACGATTATATATTTGAATTTGTACATGTATACATAGGTGTTTATTGTGTTTATAATAATACAAGTTTTATATAGAAAAATGGTGAGGACAAGGGGTGATGAGCTAGAGGAGGTAACCTCCTCAAGACTGGATAGAATGGAACGGATGATGTAAGACATGGCTGAAGCCATAAGACAGCAACAGCAGTGGCAACAACAACAACAATGACCACCACCCCCATCTCCAATGCTTGAACTACCTCCAGCTCCAAGGTGTCAGACAGAGGACTGTACTATTGCTTTGACTAGAGAATTCAAAAATATGAAACCATCATTGTTTCATGGTGGAATTGAGCCACTGAAGGCCGAAACTTGGGTTTTAAGGATTGGGAAGTTGTTTGAAGTGTTCCCATATGCCGAAGCTCAGAAAGTACAACTAGCTGCATTTACATTCGAAGATGATGCCAGGCGTTGGTGGATGTTGGTTCGAGATGAGAATAAGGATATTACTTGTGCTCGCTTTCTAGAAATCTTTTACGAGAAATACTTCCCACAATGTGTACGGGTCAGAAAAGTGCCTGAATTTATGGAACTCAAGCAAGGAAACAAATCAGTTACTGAATATGAGGCTCAGTTTACAGAGTTAGCTCGCTTTGCACCCCACATGGTGGATACGGACTACAAGAAAGCTAGCCAATTTGAGGGAGGTTTGCGTGACCTAATCCTAGAGAGAGTCAATGTACTTAAATTACCAACATATGTGGATGTGCTTGATAAGGCACTAATAGTAGAGGGAAATGTGGCCAACCGTAAACAGAATTTTGAATGGAAAGGCAGGAGACAGAATTTTAATAAGGGGACAACATCAACAAATAAGAAGTTGAAGTCTGGGAATTCCAGTAATTCGGGGTCAACCCAAAGTGGAGACTTGTGGCCCAATTGGCCACACTTAAACAAGTGAAGGCTCCCCGATTACCTCTCCCTGAACCCAAACTCGGCACAGGAATGGTGGATCTAGGCTATGCTGCCTAGGACTGCTGTGGGTTAGAACTCCTCTGCTTCTTACTGTCTCGATTCTCTCCTTGAACCCCCTGACTCCTCTGTCTGTAGCCCTTCATCCTCTCCTCCTCAATCTGAATCACGGTCTCTAAGTGAGTCGTTGCATCCACAAGATGACTGTAATCCCTAATCATAGACGCGGCCACCTTGAAAAGGAGCCTGGTCCTCAACCTCTTCTCAAACTCTAAGCAACGACGTTCTTCTTTCGCCATAAGCTCGGGTGCAAACCTCAACAAACTAGTGAAAGTAGCTTCAAACTCTACCATCGGGGTATTAAGCTACTTGAGCTTCAAGAATTGCTCTCTCAACTTCTCCTTAATAGTGGGAGGCAAAAACTTGTCCTGGAAGGCATTGACAAAAGCCTCCCAAATCACTCCGATGCATCCTCGTGCAAACTTCCACCACTGACCCACATCTCCCTTCAGTTGGAAGGATGCCAAAGTCAATCTCAACCCATTATCCTCGACGCCAAGCATCTCAAATGTATTCACCATCTGTTCAAGCCATTCTTCTGCTTTCAAAGGCTCTTTAGGATCCCCCAAAAACTCATTCGGATTCGACCGGAGGAACTCCCTCTTTAAGAAAGATGGCCCTGTCTCCACTACTTAGGCCTGGACTTGATTCTCAGTTTTGAGAATTTCCATGGATTCGCATAAAGCTCCAGCCATTTCTCAGGACAAAGCGTTCATAGCCTGCTGACCAACCCCTTCCTCCTGCGCTAGAATTTCATCTGGTAACGACACCTCCTACCGTCTAGGCCTACCATGCCTACTACCACCACGTCCACATACACGTCATGACATCCTAATAAAGGTAATACCAGAGATTAGCACATTTACAAATGTGCCGAAGATAACTCACTCACGTCCTAATGCAATGGACTACAATTAATTCACTTCACAAAACCACATAATCACATAAACACATGCGAATTTCCTTTCTAGATAATGATCACCCTATGACGTTGCCAAATTTCCAATTAGAAATAGCAGTGATCAAGTGCCCTTCCAACAGGACTTCTAAAAACTCACAGACCCAATAAATATCTTAGAAATTAAATCACATACCCATATAATCATATAATCATGTTATCACATAGCATACTATACATACATATATCTCTATCAAGCGAGATAAACCATTGTGGTAAGAACCACTTCCCATGTACCTAAATTCAAACTCGGTATGCTTTGATACCAAGTTGTAACGCCCCGAAATAAATGACCGTAACCCATATAATACATTAGTTAAATAATAACACATGATGAAATAATTATCTTCCATTAATTCTAATTACTTGTACAAAATGGTAACATATGCAGGTATACATTCACAAGTCTAACTCTGAATCTATAGCAAATGTTACATGATAAGGAAATAGAATAAAAGTTGAGCAAATAAAGAATGCCATAAAGGCTTATAGCTTTCCAAGATTGTGCTTGGTTACAATAAAATGGATTTAAATCCGATACAGTTAAAGCCCTAGCCTTGCACAAAATAAATACAACAAAACAACCAAAATGAAGTTTTTGCCTCCAAGTTCTCCCAAGCTATTGCCTTGGTGGGGGCATATCATTAGCACCTGAAAGTTTTTCCACATAGAGTGAGCCAAAGCCCAGTAGAAATAATCCAACACAGTATATGAATCTTAACAAAGGTATATGGTGATATGCATATGCAATGCTCATGCCAAAATATTTTATTTCACTTTCCCAAAACCATGCCATACCAGGGTTATCACAATTATGAAATCATTTCCTTTATAATAAAAAATAAGGCAGTGAATCACACTTTGGGAAATCTCAAAACAGATCCAACCTTTTACGAAAATTTCGTCTTCAGGAAACTGGAAACTGGCACCCATGCAAACGTAGGCTCTACAAGCACTACTATTGCCATTTCACGGAAATTTCATCCGCGGGATCGGCACCCATGTATACTCGCTGTTTTTTAGGGCTTTCACCATGGACACTCATGCTAACTTATTTCAACGAGACAACACATACTTCGCAGATTCATCCATTTTCCCAAATTGATAAACATTTCCAATGTATAAATATGAAATAATGCTTGATACTAATGGATAAGACAATAGTTTCAATTCTCCTAATTCTCATGCAATTTCTGTAACAATCATAGCTATCCTCCACTGATAGCCTAAAACAGATATTTCTAAACAAATAAACAATTTTCAATAAAGATAAACTTTCCAAATTTCAAGATGTGAGTGATAATACATATCCAACTCCACCATCTTCATCAATATCAACCTAATTACATATTTCCAACATCAATTTCATTTATCCTCAAAGTCAACATCCTTACATTATGGCGTGATTGGAGTGTGTTCCTTCTCATACGATTTCAACGTGTTTGGAGTGTGTTCCTCCTCTCACATTATGGCTTGATTGGAGTGTGTTCCTCCCTTACGATTTTAGCGTGATTGGTGTATGTTCCTCCTTACACGATTTTAGTGTGTTTGGAGTGTGTTCCTCCTCTCACATTTTAGCGTATTTTGAGTGTGTTCCTCTTTTGATGTTGCAGCGTGATTGGAGTATGTTCCTCCTCTCATGATTTTAGTGTATTTGGAGTGTGTTTCTCCTCTCACATTGCGGCGTGATTAGAGTGTGTTCGTCTTCTCATGATTTCAGCGTGAGTGGAGTGTGTTCTATCTCTCGCATTATAGCGTGATTATAGTGTGTTACTTCTCTCATGTTGCGGCGTGCTTGGAATGTGTTCCTCCTCTCACGATACCAACGTGATTGAACTGTGTTCCTCTTCACACTATTTCAGCGTGTTTGGAGTGTGTTTGCTTCAGCCACCTCTTCCTCCTCTTTTGTGTGGCGAGTTTGGATTCGCTTTTCTTTCATTCATGTAGAAAACATGTTTGTATACCTTGCTTTACATCATTTATGTAGAAAACATGTTTGCACATTTTGAGCAATATTCTTTATTGTATTTGCATTTAATAGCATGCTTTATGTCATTTGCACGAGGCCTATCTCTTTCATTTGTCATCTTTGCAACTTTATCACAATTGAATTTCATGCATATCAATTGCATTCTGTTCTTGAACTACGCTGGTTTTGATTCCTTGCAAAGGGATATGTAGGCAACCCTTGGGTTCAACCAATTGTATTTGCTTTCTATTTGTTTGCACAAAGTCTTACAGCCTCATTAAAAATGGTTTCCTTCGGGCTTTGACATTCACTCACGTTATGAAATGATACATCAAGCTCTGTCAAAGAGGGCAACTGTAGACACTCCATTTTAACCAGCCTTAAGGCTTGGGCGCTCTTTTTGAATACCCAATGATGAAAATTGAGATGTGCTAGTCTTATGAGTTCCTCAACAGGAAAACTGAGATTTAAGTTTTGAACCCAACCTAGTACTTGTTGAGGCCAAAATGTTTTTCAACTAATTGAAAACCTTTTTCAAAGTATGTTTGGTTGTGTAGTTCCAAACATTTCCACAATGTCCTGAGGCTCACCCTTTCGAATTCAAAATGCTGTGTTTTCTCAAATAGATCGAGCAAAGGATATAGTATGAATGAATAGAAGGAGTGGAATCATCTGAAATACCTACTTCTCATTTTCAAACCATGCTAACTTTACTTTATTGATCCAACGATGTATTTTTCATCTGACCAAATAACGATTCATGGCCGAATGAAAATATAGTCAGCCAAAGATATAGTGGTACGACCGGCTGAATTGTTTGAGAAAAGAGGATTTTCAGAAATTTCGTTCTTCTCTGCAAAGTTTCCACAAATATCTTAGATATTTACGTCCGAAACTCTATAAATAGAGGATGAAACCTCACTTCAGCAAGGTTAGAAATTTTGCGTAAGGCTTAAAGAGAGATTTGAGAGCTCATTTTCCACACTTCATCTTCAACCTCCACTTTCCAAACTTCAATCATCAAAACTCCATTAAAACTTCACTCTAAGCTTCTTGCTGAGAATCCTAAACACTCTAAGCTACATCTAAAGGACCTTGAGGGTACCAAGAAAGAGTTTGGGAACCACGAAGTTCATCCTCTTTAAGAGGTGAAACTTTTGAACTTTTTATAATTTTCACTCTCTTATTCCTAATCTCTAAGCTCTGGTTTTCATTCTATACTTGTTGTAATTATGTGGTAAGTCCTCATGGGTATGAAAGGAAGTAGAAAGTAGCCACCTATCTATTGAGTTAATAGTTTTATTTACTTTTTTTCTAGTTTTTCTCTATTTTCTTGCTTTCTAGAGATATAATTCGTTGTTGTTGTATATATTAGAACCTTGTGGATGTGGAGAGAAGTAGAAAGTAGCCACTCATCCACAAGTTTGATTATGTAGAGTCAATTCGTTCATTTCACACACTTTCTCATTACATATCTTATCATTCAAGCATATTGGCCCATATTTTTCAACCCATGCTCAATCTAAATGAGTAGAGGTGGTTGTTTTATGGGGCTAGTTGGATGATTTTTGAGATTTGATGTTGAGAAAGTTGTTTTCCATTTTGATTGACTTTTCTTGGAAGTATAGTAAGAAGTTTTGGGTCAAAGACGTTGAAAACTCTTTTTTCAATTATTTGTGAACATGGAAATGGGTGAAAACATCCTTGTTCCATGAATAGAATAGGAGTTTTCAATAGTCTTTGATGAATCTCTTATTTTAGATGCAAATCTTCCACTAAGAAAATGATGGGTATTAATCTACTCTTTCCAATTAGTAGTATGGATTTGGATACTAACCTACCCTTACTCACAAAGAGATGATTGTAGGTTCCTATTTATTTCTTAGGCTTGAATTTCTTCTTGCTTTAATTCATTTAATTTGACAAATTGTTGTAAAATATCTATTGTATATAGTCATTTGTGTTATTGTTAAGGGTTGATGCCTATCTACCTCTTCATTAA